CAGCTCCCAGTCCAGCCGGGCCAGGGTCTGCTGGTGGGGCTCTGCCAGGGTGATGGCAGGGCGGCTGATTTCAGGGGGGGCCTCTCTGTAGAACTCCTCCAGGCTCACCAGCTCGATCTCCTCGTGTTTGGACCTGCAGGGACAGGTGGATCAGCTCAGGGAAGGGTGGGAAGGGCTGCACCACAGCTGGACTCGAGGTGCTCCACAGGAGTGTTCCACTGCTGCTCCCTGCCCCAAATTCCCTCTCTGTGAACCACCCTCTCAGTGAGCTGAGCCTGCTTTCTCCTCCACTGTCTGTGCCTAAAGGGGCTCTAGGAGAGCTGGAGATGGACGTGGGACAAGGGCCTGGAGGGACAGGACAAAGGGAAACAACTTCCCACTGCCAGAGGAATATTGGGAAGGAATTGTTGGCTGTGAGGGTGGGCAGGCCCTGGCCCAGGTTGCCCAGAGAAGCTGTGGCTGCCCCTGGATCCCTGCAAGTGTCCAAGGCCAGGTTGGACGGGGCTTGGAGCAACCTGGGCTGGTGGAAGGTGTCCCTGCCCATGGCAAGGGGTGGCACTGGATGAGCTTTTATGTTCCTTCCAGCCCACACCATTCCATGGTTCCATGACAGCTGGAACACCCGCTCTCCTCCCGCAGGGGGCTCAGGCAACGTGGCAAGAGCTCCCAAACACTGGAAGCCTCCACCCCATCCCATCACTGTTGCTGCCTCTGCTCCCTGGCCAAACTCACTTGAACTCCAGGCACTTGGTGATCTCCTTCTGCAGGTGCATCACCTCGTAGAGCAGGTTCTGGAGCTGCAGGTGATAGGCATCCACCTTCTGCTTCGCCTGGAACATGGACACGGCCGGAGCAGGGATGGAGCTGTGCCTCCCAGGAGCCACCAACACCCTCCCCCTCACCACACCACCTTGGGACAGCTGCTTTTAGGTTTGGCAACGATTTTTTGTGGGGAAGAATGACATTTTTAAGGACTGGAGAAGCAAAGATTGTGACACATCAGACTGATTTTTCTCCTTGCAGCAGGTTTCAAAGCCAAGGCATGGGACAAGCACACGGACTGAGTCCCCTCTCCAAGAACTCTGGAGCTTCCAGGGCAATCCTACACCCCTTTATGCACCAGATGGGGCTTTCTGACCCCCCACCATGTTCAAGACACAGGCACACAGCCCTCCTTCATTAATCACTACAGTTACAGCTCCCCTGCACCCAGTGGGCGTTTTCCAGGCTCGGATCTCTGGATAAACCCCCAACCCAATCCCCACGGCCTGGCTGGCGCGTTAACTCCTCACACCACGTGCACCCTGAGACAGAAGAAGCAGGGAGAGCCCCACCTGCCCCCCCTAGATGCCAGGCTGGATGCCCCCCCTCACCTCGTGGGTCTGGTCCCTGCCTTTCTTGAGGCGGATGTGGGCCAGGCGGTTGAGCTTCTTCAGGGTCATGAAGTGCACACAGCTCTGCACGCGCCGCTCGTCAATCTCCGCGGCCTGGGGGGCGGCAAGAGGGGTGGGATCAGGACTGGGGGATGGCTGGAACCACGCAGAGCCTTCATCCAGGGTCTGCTGGATCACAGGGACCCACTGGAAAGAGCTGGGAGGGGGGTCTGGGCTCCTCAGGAATCACTCCAGGGATTATTCACAGTGGTAGGAACAGAGGTGGTTGAGCCTCAAGCACTGAGGTGTCCCAGGAGTCTGGGATAAGGGAGGCTGTTCCATTTCCAGGGCTCAATCCCCGCTCCAGAAGCCTGGAACAAGGGAGGCTGTTCCCACTTCCCTGCTCCAGCAGCCTGGGACAAGGGAAGCTGTTCCCATTTCCAGGAGTTCAATCCTGACCCAGCAGTCTGGGACAAGGGAAGCTCTTCCATTTCCAAGGCTCCATCCCTGCTCCAGAAGCCTGGAACAAGGGAGCCTGTTCCATTTCCAGGGCTCAATCCCTGCCCTAGGAGTCCAGGACAAGGGAGGCTGTTCCCATTTCCAGGGGCTCAATCCCTGTCCCAGCAGACTGGAACAAGGGGAGCCTGTTCCAATTCCAGGGGCTCCATCCCTGTCTCAGGAGCCCAAGACAAGGGAGGCTGTTCCATTTCCAGGGGCTCAATCCCTGTTCCAGGAACCTGGGACAAAGGAAACTGCTGCATTCCCAAGGCTCAATCCCTGCCCAAGGAACATGGGAAGCTGTTTCCTTTCCCTGACTCTCCCCAGGAGACACCCCAGCTCCTTCCCCTATTCTTCTGGGATTAATGGGAAAACCTCAAAGCACAGACCCACTACACCACCTGCCAAGGCCTCTCCTTACGTTTTCCTTGATTCCCCGGCTCTTGAGCTCCTGGATCTCTGCCATGAGCCTCTGGAGCTCCTGGCAGGTCTCCCTGTAGAGCTCGTAGTCCTTGATGGGGTCCCGCAGATCCACCTCGCTCTCCTCGCTGTAGTACCTGACGTCCTGCAGAGGGAAAAGCCACATTCCAGGGCTCATTCCTCCTGCTGGGAAGGGCTCTGGGAGACACAGCCCCCGGATCTGCCTGTGAATCCCATGGCTTTACACACGGAGAGGACTCAGGAATTCACAGTGGGAATTTCAGAGGTTCGCAAATCCTGGAATCCCAGAGTGGTTTGGCTGGAAGGGACCTTAAAGATCATCTCATTCCATGGACACCCTCCGCTAGCCCAGGTTGCTCCAACCTGGCCTTGGACACTTGCAGGGATCCAGGGGCAGCCACAGCTTCTCTGGACAACCTGTTTTCCCTCCGGGAGACAGGAGGCCAGCCTGGAGCAGGAGTGGGCAGGTCCCTGATCCCTGTGCCTTCCATACCTGCTCGGGGTCTCCCTTGCCCCGTTTCCCCTCCAGAGGCACATCCGAGCGGATCACCTTGGGCTTCCTCTTCTTGCTGGACTCTGAGGACATGGTGAGGCCAGCAGGGCTGGGGAGGGGCACAGGGGGGTCACAAAACCACCTGGGTGGGATCAGGGTTGTCCCAGAATCCCTCCCCCAGCCTGTCCCGGGCTCTGCAGGGTCCCGGGGCAGCCCCTGCACCTCCCATTCCCAGGGTTTCTCCCACCAGCTCCTCCCAGCCCCAGCAGCACAGAGGGTCTGGGGTCTCTGCTCCACCACAGCCCCCCACCCCAGATCAGGACCCTCTGCTCTCACTGACCCCCCCAGACCCCAACACACAGGGCCTCCAGAGCCTCGCCCCAGACCCCCAGCGCTGTGGGATGGGGGGGTCTCTGCTCCTCCAAGCCCCCCAGATCCAGCACACAGGGACTCCACTCCGCCTTAGCCCCCAGACTGGGGACCCCCTCCTCCAGGAGCTCCTCCAGGCAAGGAACCCACCCCTCCTCCAGAGCCCCCCCGACCACAGCACCCCAAACCCAGGGGATTCTGCTTCACCAGAGCCCCCCTAGACCCTCTGACCCCCCAGAAACCCTTCCGGAGTCCCCCAGACCACCGACCCCGGGGCTCCCCCACCCCAAACCACAGCACACCGGGCCCAAGGTCTCAGCGATCCCGGACCCTCCGCCCCTTCGAACCCCCCCCAACGCCTCCACTCGGGACCGTTCCCTTCTGCTGAGCTCCCCCAGAGCCGGGACCCTCCGCTCCCCGCGAGCCCCCCCAGACCCCCAGCACACCGGCCCCGGGACCCTTCCCTCCCCTTGATCCCCCAGAGCCCAGCACACCAATCCCGGGACCTTCGCCCCCCTGGAGCCCCCCGCCCCAGGCCCCAAAACACCGATCGATCCCGGACCCTCCGCCCTTCCAAGCCCCCCAGACCACCAACCCCGGGACCCCTCGGCTTCCCCGGAGCCCCTTCCCAACCCCGCACACGGATCCCGGTCCCTTGTCCCCCCCGAGCCCCCCATCCCATCCCGGTGCCCCCGGGGGTCCCGCCCGCTCCCCGCTCTCACCGCCCGCCTCACACCGCGCTCTCCCGGAAGTGACGTCACAAAACAAGCAAGCGCGGCGCGGAGCGGCAGCGGCGCGAGGCACGGGTTGCTACAACGCCCCCTGGCGGGCGCCGCCAGCCTGGAGGAGCGCGAGCCGGGGGTGTGGCCCCGGAAATGGAGGCGTGGGCTTTAATCGAAGGGGCGTGGCCAAACCCCCATTCACAAGCTCCGGGGGTGTGGGGGGGGCAGCCCTGGGGAAGGGGAGGGGGACGGGACCCCCGCGATGGGCCCACGGGTGGGGCTGGGGGGCTCGTGGGGCACAAGGGCACCCGCAGGAACGGGGGGGAGCATTCGGGTAGGGGGACTCGGAGGCACCGGGGGATCCACGGGTTTGCGGTGGGATCACTTTTTGGGGATGGGGTCCTAGGGGATGGAGGGGGGTTTACGTGGGGTCAGGGGGGGCTCGAGAGGGGGTCCCTCGTGGTGCTTGGGGTATCCATGGGGTTGGGATGGGATCCCCGATGGGGCTGGGGGGGCACCGGATGGGGTCCCCGGTGATGGGGGGGGGTATCCACGGGGTCGGGGGAGGAGCATGGGATGAGGTCCCCAGTGGTCCATGGGCTTGGGGGGAGCATGGGAAGTGGTTCCTGATGGCACTGGGGATATCCATGGGTGTGGGATGGGACCCCCAGTGGTGCTGGGGGTATCCATGGGGCTGGAAAGGGCACGGGATGGGGTCCCCCAATGGCACTTGGGGTATCCATGGGCTTGGGAGGGCTTGGGATGAGCTCCCCAGTGGCACTGGGAGTATCCACGGGCATGGAATGGGGTTCCCAGTGGCACTTGGGGTATCCACGGGCGTGGGATGGGGTTCCCAGTGGCACTGGGGAGTATCCATTGTCATGGGATGGGGTTCCCAGTGGCACTGGGGGCACACAGGACCTTTGGGGGGACATCAGTGTGTCATGGCACCCACGGGTGGGGGTCTTTCAGTGCAGGGGGCACCCCTGGCAAGGGGCAGGGCAGCACCCCTGGCTGAGACCAGGCTGGGGAGTCTCCCCCCATGCCAGGGGGGACCCAGCACGCCCAGCAAACCCCCACCCCCACCCCAAGAGGGGCCCAGGCTTTGGCATATTAAATATTTAATTGGCAGCAAAGGCACCCACTGGGCCCACCAGGGGCAATTAAGCCCCCCCCCCACCTCTGCAGCCTGCCCAGCCCCCCTGGCAGCACCATCCTGGGCACCCACCACGGGATGGGGGGCCCCCACCATCCCCTCCCTGCTCTCAGCCCCCACAGGGCACCCCAAAACAGGGAAGGGGAAAGAGCAGGGAGCTGAGGGGGTGCAGAGCCCCCCCAGCCCTTCTCCAGCAGGGTGGGGGTGCAGGCAGGGAGCCCCTTGGGGTGCAGGAAGCCCCCAGGCACGGCCCCCCCGTCACTGCAGGGGGGAGATCTTCAGCGGGATCATTATCCGGGATTCCATGGTCCGGATCAGCGGCACTGCAGAGGGAAACGGGACACAGGTGAGGGTAGGGGGTCCCCACAGCAGCGTGGGGGTCCCCAGCACGTGCAGGGGATCCCCAGAGCATGGCTGGGGTCCCCAGAGCAGGGTGGGGGTCCCACTGACCTGTGTAATACACGTTCTCATCCCAGCCCCTCTTCCTCCAGGCCGCGTTCCTCGTCTCCTCCCGGGACTGCAGATCCTTGTAGGCTGCAGGGACAGGGTGGCACTGACACCCCGAGCCCCCCAGCCTGGCCCCCCCATCCCCCCAGGGGTGCCCCCTTACCCCACAGGTGATGGACCACGTAGAGCTCCCCGATCTGGGAGAAGAACCCCCCGACCGCCTCCTGATTCTCCTGCCGGTACTTGATGGCCCGAGCCCTGGCACGGAGCAGGACACGCTGGGGGGGCTGTCCAGGGGTCTCCCCTGCTCCAGAGGGGCCTTTTCCCACCTTGGAAAAGCTGGGAAAGCAGTGCTGGGAAAGCAGACTCTTACCAGTTGTTGCCCCATTCAATCATGGTCCCTGGCTGGGAACAGGGGAGGAAAACCAGTCAGAGCCTCCCTGCTTGGGGTCTGCTCAAGGAGGGGGTGATTTGAGGGGGGGGGGCTGTCCCCCCAAAACACCACACAGGGGGCAGGCACACCATCCTGAAGACCACCCCGAGGCACGGGGTGACCCCCCCACCTTCAGCTTGTAGGTCCTGAGCTCGTAGATGTTTGGTCCCTGCCGGGGCTGGGGCTCGTTCCAGAAGCTGAACTCCAGGAGCAGCTGGTTCCTGCGGGACAGCAGCATCCGGCTCCTCTCCTTGCGGAACTCCAGGTACTCCTGGGGACAGCCCCAGCGGGGGGTCGGGGTGGGGGCCACGGGGCCAGGGGGGTGGGCACAGGGCAGGGGGTCACCCCACCCCGCTGGTACCTTGTTCTGCCTCAGCTTGTTCATGCAGTCCGTGAGCGCCGGGTACCCGCCCGAGAAGCGCCACAGGTGCACTGCAGAGAGGGGTTGGGAGTGGGGAACGGGGGGAAACGCCCCAAAATCCCACCTGAGCTCCCTGCCTTTGGCACCAGGAGCCACCGCCCGCCTGCCCACCCTCACCTGCCTGGTCCTGCTCTCCATACCAGGTGTTCCAGTTGCCCACCAGGTCACAGGGGTAGTCGGGGTCCGAGTGGAGCTTGGGCAGCACCTCCTCTCTGCGGGAGCACAGCGGGGGAGCCAGTGGGGTGGGGGGCAGCACCCCAAAAACCCTCCCAGTACCCCTGTGTGCCCTCCCAGGACATGGAGGGATCTGCAGCAGTCTGGGGGATGCAACAACGAAATTTGGATCGAGGCACAGAGCAGGGACATGGATCGACCCAGGCACTCTGGGAGCTCTGCACAAGTCCTCCCACCCCTTTTGTTTCAGGACAGCCCCCCAGTATCCCACTGGGACATCCCTCAGCGCGTGCTCACGTCAGCTTGTTGTAGGTTTCCAGGCATTCCGGCTTCACATTGTGAACTGCAGGGAGAGCGGAGAGGGGCTGGGAAAGGGGGAAGGAGGGCAGGGGAGCCAGGTGGGAGGGGGCAGCACCCTCTCTGTGCCCTCCCAGCCCGCTGGGATCACTCACACTGGATCTTGTAGAGGTTGCTGGTCTCCCCCTTGGAGAGCAGGTTGGAATGGGCGTCCTTGCGCGGATCCACCTTGTGCACGAAGAGGGAGCGGAACCAGCTGCCCTCGGCCTCCCGGGAGTACCCCCTGCGGGACAGCGGGTCAGGGGGAGCCCCCACACACCCCTCCGTGGGGGGAGCACCGGCAGGGACCGGGAATGACCAGCTGGAGGGCGACACGGGATCCAGAGGCCACGCTGCCAGTCCTGGGCAGCCACCGCCATTGTCCTGCTGGGGGGGAACTCCCTCCATCCTGGGGGGCTTCAGTGGGTTCCAGTCAGTCCATACTGGGAGATGGGAGCCCTGTCCCAGTTCAGGGGGGTTCTGTCTGCAGTTCCAGTCTGTCCCCCAGAATCCAGGCGGATCCCAGAACCCGGAGGGATTTTGGCCACACTGCCCCGACAGGGCAAGGACACCAAGCTGGGATGTGGGGAGAGGGGGGCAGCCCCCCAGCCTGCCCCCAGGGACCCCCAGGCCAGGAGGTGACCCTTCCGTGGGAAAGGGGACATGGGGTGAGGGGGCAGCACCCGATGGGACACTCCTCAGCTCCAGGGGCCACTCCAGTGGCAGTGACCCCCTCCATCAGCTATGGGACAAGGGGACATGGGGCTGGGACATTCCCCCAGCCAGCCCCCACAGAACCCCCTCAGCCCCAGGGGCTGCTCCAGTGGCAGTGACCCCTCTGTGGTCAAGGGGACATGGGGCAGGGGAGCAGCCCCCCAACTTGTCCCCCACTTCCAGGAGCCACTCCAGTGACAGTGACCTCCTCCATGGGCACGGGGACAAAGGGACAAGGGCACAGGGGGCAGCTCCTCAGCTTGTCCCCCAGGGACCCCCATCAGTTCCAGGAGCCACTCCGATGGCAGCGACCCCCTCCACGGGCAATGGGATGTGCAATGAGAGGGCAGCCCCCCGAAACGCGGGGCCGGCCCACCCGGGGCAGCGGTGGGGGGAGGAGTTGGGGCCCCTCGGTCCGTGCTCCGAGCTGCGGGCAGACCTTTGCCCCGGCCTGAGGCAACGACCGCGGGGCCGCGCCGGGGGCTGCCCAGGGAGTCCGACAGGGCCGCGGGGCCGGGGGGGGGTGCGGGAGCCGGGGGGCTCAGGGAGTGGGATGCGGGGATCGGGGGGCGCAGGGAGGGGGATGCGGGGTCCCCGCCCGGGAGGATGCGGGATCGGGGAGGGTACAGGGGAAGGGGATGCGGGTTCCGGAGTGAGATCGGGGTCTCGTGGGCGGCGAGTGCAGGGTCTCCGCACGGGGCTCACGGGGTCCGGGGGCGATGCGGGTTTTCGGGGAAGATGCGGGGTCCGGGGGAAAAGCGCGGGCCCGGAGGAGGGGAGCGCGGGGCTCCCCGCCCGGGTTCTGCCGGATCCCGGGGGGATGCGGGAGAGAGGGATGCGGAGCCCGGCGGGGGGATGCGCGGTGAGGGGTCTCTCGGGGCGGGGGGATGGACGCGAAGCCCCCCACCCGGAGCTCGCGAGGTCCGGATGCGGGTTTCGACGAAGATGCGGGGCCCGGCGGGGGGAACAGGGGTGGCTCGGGGGATGTTGATCCCCCACCAAGGGCCCGAGGGATCCGAGGGCGTGCCGCGGGGTCCGGGGGCGAGGGGCTCTCGGGGTTAGGGGATGAGGCAGGGGAGGAGGCGACACCTCGCTGGGTGCGCGATGCGGGGGCAGCGAGGCGATGCGGGGAATACCGGGTGGGGCGCGGGTCAGGGCTGGGTCCCCCCGGGTCGTCCCCCTCCTGCACTCACCGCGCGCCCCCGAGGCCGCGCCCCCGCCCCGCAGCCGCCGCAGCGCCGCGCTCCCGCTGCGCGCCCCCGCCGCCATCTTCCGCACCGGGGCGGGGCTTGCGCGAGGGGCGGGGCCGTGTGACCACACGGCCCCGCCCTCGCGCTTGCCCCGCCCCTGCCCCCTGCCCCGCACCCGCCCCGCACCCTTCAGAAGCTGGCCTGCAGCACCGTGATTCTGATTGGCCGCCTGGCCACGCCCTCCCGCCCCCCGGCCACGCCCCTCCGGCCACGCCCGCCGCCGCGGCGACGCCTCATTGGCTGCCCGATCGGAGCGCGGTCTCTGATTGGACGAGACGTCTCGCTCGGCTCCGGCGGGGCGGGGCTTCGGCGGGCTCCGCCCTAAGGGGAGGCGGGGTCAGAAAAAGGGCGGGGCTTTGTGCGGCCTCCGAGGGGGCGGGGCGGGAGGAGGGGCCGGACCTACCTGCGGGGTCGGGGTCGTGTTCGGGAGGTCCCAGTGGCCCCCCCCGAGCGGCGCCGGGGCCCCCCAGAGCCGGGGGTTCCTCCTGCGCCGGGGGCACCTGCGGGAGGGCACAGGGAGCGATGCTCCAGCCTGACCCGCGGCGATACCGGTGCTGCTCCCTCCCCTCCTCTGCCCCAGAGGCCCTCTCGTTTCCAGAGGACCCCTCAGTTCTCTGCCCTTGAGCTCCCCTTCCTGCCCCAGACTCCCCCTCCTACCCCACAGCTCCCCCTTCGGCTCCAGAGACCCCTGCCCTGCCCCAGAACCCCTCCTGTAGCCCAGAGACCCCAAAGACCCCCCCCCTTGCCCCTAGCCACTCCTGCCCCATAATCCCGTCTGCCCCACAGGCCCCCTACTCTGCCCCATAACCCCTCCTAACCCGTTGCCTCCCCCTCTCTCCCCCGTAGCCCCACCTGCCCCATAACCTTCTGCCCCCGAGCCCCTCCTTCCGCCTCAGAGCCCCTCCTGCCCTATAACCCTCCTCCTGCCCTAGAGCCCCCCATTTTGCCCCATAACCCACTCTCACCCCATAACCCCCCATCCTGCCCCACAATCACCCAGTAAGTGCCCCCCTCCCCCAGTACAACCCCCAGTGTCCCACGCCCTCACCTCGCCGAGGGGCAGTGGAGGGACAGGGGGGCGGCGAGGAGGGGGCACGGGGGGACCCTCCAGCCCATTCCCCCGGGGGCACGGGGAGCACCAGTCAGGGGGGTGGGTGGGCAATGGGAGCGAGGAGGACCCGCGCTCGGGGGATCCTGGGGTGTCTGCAGGGACAGGGAGCGGGGGGAGCTGGGGAGGGGAGAGAAAATAGGGGTTAAAGGTTTACCTGCCCCCCAGACGTCCCCAAGCACTCTGTGACCGCCCCCGAAATCCTCCCACATCCTCACGACTTCTGGGATCCCCCAAACCTCCCCAAACCCCTCAGTACTCAGGTTCCTCGTCTCCCCGGTGCCCCTGTGCCCCTCGTACCCCTAACTCACCAGGGCAGGGCCGATGTCCCTGGTGTCCTCGTACCCCCCATACCCCATTCCCCGAGGCAGGGGCGATGCCCCCCATGCTCCCCAGTACCCCCGCATCCCTCTCCCCCGGGCAGGGACAATGTCTCTTGTGTCCTCTTATCCCATTTACCGAGCGAGAGCGATGCCCCCCACGTGCCCCCCTGTGCCCCTAAGCCCCCGTATCACTGACCCAGGCAGGGGCGATGCCCCCCGGCGCAGGGCACAGACCCAGGCCTGCAGCTCCTCGGGGGTCTCAGCCCCCAGGCAGTACGTTCGCATCCCGGGGTGCTCGGCCTGGGAATGGGGGGGGATCCATGGTGAGGGGGGGGGTCCAGGTGTCCAGGGCCTGTCCCCCCACCCTCAGGACACCCCCGAATCCGCGGATCCAGGGCCCGGGGCTGACCGTGAACAGGAACTGGGGGGCGCGGGGGGCGGGGGGCAGGACGCGGATCTCGTAGCCGGGCAGGGGGAGCCCGCCCCGCACTCGCTGCTCGCTGCTGTCTGGGGGGCAAAGGGGGGTCAGAAAGAGGGCACCAAGGACTCCGCGGGCACCCCGAGACCTCCGGGGGGTGCTGGGAACTCCTCTGAGTCCCATCGGCTGCCCCCGAACCTCCAGAGTCCCCCTAGACCTTAGAACCCCACCAAGGACCTCTTCAACCCCCCAGAGACCCCCAGTGCCCCAGGGACACCTGATCCTGCCAGGATCCCTGTCCCATCCAGAGACCCCCCAAATGCCCCGGGGACCCCCAATTCCCGGGGCTCCCTGAACCTCCGGGAATGCCCCAAGCTCCAGGGACCCCAAATCCCATGGGGATCCCTGACTCCCCCAGAGACCCCCAAATACTCCATGGATCACTGATCCCACTGGGATCCCTGGCCACTCCAGGGACCTCCAACACCCCAGGGACACCCGATCTTTTGCCCTCCCCCCAAAACCTCCCAGTACCCCAGAAACCCTGATCCCCCCAGGGACCACTAGAGTCCCCCTGGGATCCCTGAGACCCCCAGGGACCCCCAACACTGCAGGGCCCTCTAATCTCCTGGAATCCCTGATGCCCCCCAGTAATCCCCACTGCCCCAGGGATCCCCCAGGATCTCTGACCGCCCCCCAGGTACCCCAGGCCACCCAAGCCCCCCCACACCCCCAGGGTGTCCCATCTCGCCCCATCCCCCGGCCCCCTCACCCCGGTAGTAGTAGAGGCAGAGATCCACCAGGACAAACCAGCGGCGCTTCCAGAGCCGCAGCCCCGAGCTGTCCTGGGGGAGGGGGACAGGGACGGAGTCCCCACAGTCCATCAACCCCTCCCCCGGGGTTTCTGCTGCCCCAGACCACCCCACCCTCCCGATTTCCCAAACTCCATAATTCCCCTAGTACCCCCTGTCACCCCCCAAACCCCACAAACCCCTGCCATTCCCAAACACCCAAACCCTCCCAACCTCCATAAACCCCCCAGCACCCTCTTCCATCCCAGACCCCCACACCCCATAACACTCCCACAGTGCCCCAGCCCCACCAAACATTTCTGATCCCTCACAACCTCCCCAAACCCCATAACCCCCTCCCCCAGACCCCTCCAACCCCCATAGCCACCCCCAGGACCTCCAACACTCCAGAATCCCGTGACCCCCAAACAACTCCCCACACCCCCACTCCAGACCCCCAGCCCTGTACAACCCCCCAGCACTTCCACACACCCCACATCCACCCCAAGCCTCACACCCCACCCCCATCCAGCACCTCGAACTGCCCCAGATCCCCCCAAACCTTCTCTGATCCCCAGTGCAGCCCTTCCACCCCACACCCCCACCTCGAACGCCCCAAAAGCCCATGATCCCCCTCACCTGCTTGTGCAGCCAGCCCTGCATGGCGGGGGGAGTGCGGGGGTCCCTCCGCAGCGCCTGCCCCCCCTTCCCAAAGGCATGGACCCTCGGCACGGGCCGGCAGGGCTGGGTGGGGAGGGGTCACCCAGGGTGGGGGCTTCAAGGAAGGGCCCCCCGGCCCTCCCTACGGTCCCCAGGGCTGGCAGAGTCCCTACCAGCCCCCTCCCCTAGTGCACCGGTACACCCCACAGTGCCCCCTTGCTCCCCAGGACTCCCCCTTGTGTCCCACAGGTCCCCCTGGAGCCTCAGGATCCCCCATACCCCCCACCCACCCACCCAGTGCTCCCCATGGCCCCCTCGCACCCCCCGAGCTCCCTGGGGTTCCTCATGCCTCCCCTCGCCCCTCCCCACAGCTCCCCATGGATCTCCAGCCTCCCGAGCTCCTTTGGGTGCCCCATAGCCCCTCATGGCTCCCCGTGACCCCCAACACCCACAGCCCCCATACACCCCCCAGTGCTCCCCCGTGCCCACCTGGGGGCCGGGCCCGCGGGGGCCGGAGGGGGCGGGGGCTCCGTTTGGGGGTCATCTTTTTCTGCCATGGAGGGTCCTGCGGGGGCGGGGGGGCCCCGTCAATGTCCCCATTGTCCCCGCGGGGACAGAGGCCCCGTTCTTCCCGCTGCGGGGGCGGGGGCCGCTCCCGGACGCCTGGATCCCCCTAGGGGGGGCGAGGGGGTGCTTCTCGGCTCCCGCTGGTCCCTTCCCTCTCCTGCTCCTACCAGGTTCAGGTCCGTCCTGTTTCGCGTGCAGGTCCCAGTTCTCGTCCCAGTAACCATGAGCTGGTCCCAGTTCCCATCCCGTTATCTCCGTGCAGTCCCAGTTTCCGTCCCAATATCCCTGACCTGGTCCCTCCAAATTCCTATCCTGTCCCTGTGCTGGTCTCAGTTCCCGTCCCGGTAACTTTGAGCTGGTCCCAGTTCCCGTCCCAGCAAGCCTGAACTGGTCCCAGTCCCTCCCTGTTACCCCGTGCAAGTCCCAGTTTATGTCTCGGTATCCGTCTCAGTTCTACCCCATTATCCCCGTGATGGTCTCAGTTCCCGTCCCAGCAAGCCTGAACTGGTCCCAGTTCCTGTCACGTTCCCCACTACTGGTGCCAATCCCATCCCGTTCTCCCCGCGCCGATCCTGGGTCGCAGTCCCCCTTCCATCATCCCAGTGCCGGTCCCCGTTCCCCATCCCAGTTCCGTTACCGCAACTGGTTCTGCTCCCAGTCCCGTCCCCTGTCCCGGTGCCGGTCCCGTCCGTGTCCTGTACTGGTCCCAGTCCCGTGTCCCGGTCCCTGTCCCGCCCCGTGTCCCCGCCCGCCTCGGGCGCTGGTCCCAATTTCTGCCCCCACCCACGAGCCAGGAAACCCGAGTGCCCCCGGGACCACCCGGGCACGCCCGGTACGGCCACCCGAGACCCGGCGGGGGCACCCACCGGGGGGGCAACACCCCGTGTCATCCCGGGAACCCCGTCCTGCGGGGACACCCACGGCGGAGGGGGCACCCGTGGCACTGGGGACACCCCGCGGCACCGGGGAAACTCACAGCCCTGGGGACATCCACGGATCCCGGACACCCCACGAACCCCCGACGCTGTGGGGATCCTGGACACCCCAGGGATCCCGGACAGCCCATGGATCACAGACACCCACGGACCCTGGGCATTCCAGAGATCCCTGAACACCCACGGAATCCCTGACACCCCACGGATCCCGGACATCCCCGGACTCCCTACGGATCGCAGACACCCCCGGACACCCCCGTAATCCCTGACACCCCACGGACCATGGATACGCCCGGATCCCCGATGCCCCACCGACCCCAGGAGTCCACGGACACCCCCTGACACCCCCGAACACCCCCGGACACCCCATGACACCCCAGAGCCCCCGACCCCCTCGAACCCCCTGGGGACCTTGAACACCCCATGGGTCACCGACACCCCACGGACCCCTGTCCCCCACGGATCCCCACGGACCCTCGACACCCCACTGATCCCCAACAGCCACGGACATCCCATTGACTCGGACACCCCCTGACATCCCAGAGCCCCCGGACCCCCTCGGACACCCTGGGGACCCTGAACACCCAATGGGTCACAGACACCCTCCAGCCCCCTCCGTGTCCCGCAGAGCCCCCGTGTCCCCGTACCCCTCCCGTGTGCCCCCGTATCCCCCCATGTCCCCGTATCCCCTCCATGTTGCCGTGTCCCGTCCGTATCCCAGTGTCCCGTGTCCCCGAGTCCCCTGTGTCCCCCTCCCGTATCCCCCATGTCCCTGTGTCCCGTGTCCCCCCATGTCCCCCCATGCCCCCCATGTCCCCCCATGTCCCCCCATGCCTCCCATGTCCCCTGTCCCTGTGTCCTGTGTCCCCCATATCCCTGTGTCCCTCTCCGTGTTCCCATGTCGCCCCCCCGTGTCCTCCCATGTCCCCCCATGTCCCCGTGTCCCATGTCCCTCCTATGTCCCCGTGTCCCCCCTATGTCCCCGTGTCCCCGTGTTCCCCGTGTCCCCGTGTCACCCTCCATGTCCCCCCATGTCCCCGTGTGTCCCCCGTGTCCCCGTGTCACCCTCCCATGTCCCCCCATGTCCCCATGTCCCCCCATTTCCCTATGTCCCATGTCCCCGTGTGTCCCCGTGTCCCCTCTATGTCCCCCCATTTCCCCGTGTCCCCGTGTCCCTCCGTGTCCCCATGTCCCCCCATGTCCCCATTTCCCCATGTCCCCCCATGTTCCCGTGTCCCCTCTATGTCTCCGTGTCCCCCGTGTCCCCCGTGTCCCCCCATGTTCCCCCATGTCCCCCCATTTCCCCGTGTCTCCCCATGTCCCCCTGTGTCCCCCCATGTCCCCCCATGTCCCCGTGTCCCCCCATGTCCCCCCATGTCCCCCCATTTCCCGTGTCTCCCATGTCCCCCTGTGTCCCCCGTGTCCCCGTGTCCTCATGTCCCCCCAGTTCCCGTGTCCCGGCTCCCCCGGGTCCCAGCGCCCGCCCCCCTCACTCCACCCCGCCCGCCGCCAGGGGGCGACACGTCCCCACCCATTCCCTCCTTCACCCCGCGCTCCGAGGGGGCCCCGCCTCGCCCCGCCCCTTCCCTTGACCGACACCATTCTTACCCAATCACAACCCCTCTCCCTCCCTCACTTTGAGTTCCGCTGTTTCTATTGGTCGAATCGCGCTGCGGGGGCGGGCCGTCGGCGCGGCGCGGCCAATGGCGCGGCGGGGGCGGGCGCGGCCGCCATGGCGCCGGGGCCGCGCTGACCGGCCCGAGCCGCCATGGCCGGGGCCATCGCCTCCCGCATGAGCTTCAGCTCCCTCAAGCGCAAACAGCCCAAGACCTTCACGGTGCGCATCGCCACCATGGACGCGGAGATGGAGTTCAGCTGCGAGGTGAGGGAGCGGCGCTCCCCGAGGGGGGACGGGCCCCCCAGACCCCCCAGCCCAGCCCTGAGGGCGCCCGGACCCCCCGGAGGGTCCCGGGGCCCGGCACGGCCCGGCCGCGCTTCGCTTGTAATTTGGTTGTAATTCGGAGTTATCTTGGAGGAACTCGGCGTGATTTGGGTTATAATTGAACTTTATTGTGCTTGTGATTCGGGTTTGTTTTGGTTGTGATTTGGGTTTATCCCCGGCTGTGGGTTCAGCTTTATTTTGGCTTTAGTTCAGGTGTAATTCGGGTTTATTTTGGTTATAATTCAGTTTGATCCTGATTGTAATTCGGCTTCATTCTGGCTATAATTCGGTTTATACTTTGGTTAGAATTCGGTTTATACTTTGGTTAGAATTCGGTTTATACCTTGGTTAGAATTCGGTTTATACCTTGGTTAGAATTCGGTTTATACTTTGGTTATCACTCGTATTTGTTGTAGTTATCATTTGTTTTATGCTTTTGCTAAAATTAAGTTTATACTTTGGCCATAATTCGGGTTTATCTTGGTTATAATTCAGCGTTATTCTGGGTGTAATTCACCTTTATTTTGGTTGTGATTCGTCTTTATTTTGCTCATAATTTGGCTTTATTTTTGGTAATAATTAATCTTTATGTTGGTCATAATTTTACTTCTCTCGGGGTATAATTCATCTTTATCCTGGTTATAATTCAGGTTTATTTTGGGTTTAATCCAGCTTTATTTTGGTTATAATTCAGGTTTAGTTTGGGTGTAATTCAGCTTTATTTTAGTTATAATTCAAGTTTAATTTTGGGTGTAATTCAGTTTTATTTTGGCCATAATTTCGCTTTAGCCTGGTTATCATTTGACTTTGTTCTGGTTATAATTCGACTTGTATTTTGGTTATAATTCAATTTTATTCTGGTTATAGTTCAGCTTTATTTTGGTTACAACTCAGATTTTTTTCTGGGTGTAAGTTACCTTTATTTTGGCCATAATTTGGCTTTATCCTGATTATAATTTGGCTTCATTCCTGGTGTAATTTGGCATTACTCTGGTTATAATTCAGTTTATACTTTGGCTATAATTTGGCTTTATCCTGGTTATAATCCATCTTTATATCTATTATAATTCAGGTTTAATTTGGGTGCAGTTCACCTTTATTTTAGTTATAATTCACTCTTGGGTTTAATTCAGATTTATTTAGGTTATAATTCAGCTTTATTCCAGGTGTATTTCAGCTTTATCTTGGATGTAACCCAGCCTAATTTAGCTTTTCCTGGCAATAATTCAGATTTATTCTGATTATAATCCAGCTTTATTTTGGTTCTAATCCAGTCCTATCCTGCCATCCCAGCCCAAACCACCATGACGTGACCAGGGCTGGGGGGATCCCAGGCTTGACTCCACAGGTATCCAACTCCAGGCACTCCACAAACACATGAGGATGGAATGTTGGCACTTTCCCAAGGATTAGGGGTGCTCTGAGGGGCTTCAGGTCTGTTTTTCCTCTGATAATTCCCCTTTTTTGGGCCCTTGGAACTCGTAAAATGTTCTGCCTGACCCTGGGATCTGCTCTGCTTTTCCGTCTGATCCAGAGGGATTGGACACACAGACGTCTCTCCCCACGTCAACTTCTTCACTGAATAGTTTATATTCCGTTAGTCTGACCCAAATCCTGGTGGAATCCCGGCTCCCCTCAGCCAAGGGCTGTTTGTCATCACCAATTTCCTTGCCCTGGAAATCTCTTGTCAGCCCTGAAGAACTTCCTGCCTTTCCCAGGGATCAGGGATTTGCTGTGGGCAGCAGCGAGATCTTCCCGCTTCCAGCAGAGTCAGAGCGTCCTGGCTCTGCTCTCGCCGGGTTTTCCCGAGGCTGCCAACAATAACTGAGGATGGAAAGCGAACAATCCCTTCTTTCAGTGCCGGTTCCCGTTGGGAGCAGGGATTTGTGCGGAGGTGAGGCGGCCATCCCGTGGGATTTGGCTGCGGAATTTGTGCATCTCCAGCTGACTCTTTGGGGAGGTTCCTGCCAAAGTAACTTGTTGCTGCAGATGGACTCGTCCAGCTGGAAGGAGCTCGGGAGCTGCGAGTGTGGTCCCGCCGAGGGCTCCTGGATGGAGTCGGAGCTGGCACGGGAGGGATGCAGCGGGAATTCAGGCCCCAGCCTTCAGTGCAGAGCACTGGAGCAGAAAGGAGGGAAATAGTCACAGAATCCTGGAATGGGTTGGGTGGGAAGAGACCTTAAAGCTCATCCAGTCCCACCCCCTGCCATGGGCAGGGACACCTTCCACTAGCCCAGGTTGCTCCAAGCCCCATCCAACCTGCCCTTAGACACTTCCAGGGATCCAGGGGCAGCCACAGCTTCTCTGGGCAACCTGTACCAGGACCTCCCCACCCTCACAGCCAACAATTCCTTCCCAATATCCCATCTATCCCTGCCCTCTGGCAGTGGGAAGCCATTCCCTGTGTCCTGTCCCTCCATGCCTTGTCCCCAGTCCCTCTCCAGCTCTCCTGGAGCCCCTTTAGGCCCTGCAAGGGGCTCTCAGGTCTCCCTGGAGCCTTCTCTGCTCCAGGTGAACCCCCCCAGCTGTCCCAGCCTGGCTCCAGAGCAGAGGGGCTCCAGCCCTGGGAGCATCTCCGTGACCTCCTCTGGACTCTCTCCTAGCCCAGGACACCCCAGCTGGAGGTGTGAGCTGTATCCAAGCTTTATCCAAGCTCCCTGGCTGGATCTCTGTGCCCATCTTTGTCTCGTGGTTGTGCAGCTATGGGGAAAGCCCCTTCTTTTGCTGACTCTGCAGAAACACCCTGAGCCCAACACAGGACGGTGGATCAGACACACCCCGAGTCACTGGGAGTGGGAACGTGGCCCAGGGAAGGGCTTGGCTTGGACCACACCCACAGTGGGACCTGGAGCCGGGAGTGGAGCTTGTGCCCTCCTGAAAGTCAGCGAGGAGGGAGAGTTGATGGTATGGGGAGGACTGTGCTCCTCCCTGAAGGAATCTGGCCCCTAACCCAAGGTTTGTTGGGAGAGGAGTGAGCAGCTCTGTGTGTGTCTGAGGTGTCCTTGGCCAGGAAGGAGAGCTCCTGACCCGAGCAGGAGCCTGGGGGAGAGGGAAACCTGCCCCCCAAACACTTCAGAGGATCACTGGGAAGAGGTGCAGCGGGAATCACGAGGGCTCTTATGATGTGTTCTTGTGGCCTGTGAGTGGCACTTTGTGCCTCCAGGGATGAGGAGCCGCTGGCTTGTTGGAAAACTGGTTGGTATCCTGCTCCTGGGGCCCATCCCTCAGGTTGGGTTTTTTGTGTCCCTGTTGTGCTGGAACCTTCTCCCTGCCCTGGGCTTCCAACCCCATGGAAAACCGCAGCGGAGCAGGTGGAGGGAGCAGTGCAGGAATGTTTTGCTGCCTAATCCACCGTGGCTTCACCCCAGGCTGCCCATCCAAATGACCTCTCCAGGGAGCTTGGCTTGAGGCTCAGGAGCTGTGGGGTGGCTGTTGGGAGCGGGATGGAGCAGTGGGAAGTTGCCATTCTTGGAGTTGTCCTGTGCAGGTCTAGGAGTTGGACTTCAATGGTCCATGTGGGTCTCTTCTCGGGATATTCCATGATATTCCATGATATTCCATGATATTCCATGATTCCATGACCCCACTGTAGCTGCAGGAGACACCTTTCTTTTTTCCATGTTATTTTTTCAGTCTGCCCGGTAGAAATTCCCAGCTGTGTATTTTAAGGGATTAAACCTGCTTTGCATCTGTTTACTCTGCAAATGATGTCTCTAAATTGAGCCTAACTCTAAAGTAATTCCTGGAAATGAAATCTTAATCTTTCCAACACGGCAATGGAGATTAATAATCACGGTTGGGGTTTCGCTTTAAAGACTCGTAATTTGTATGGGGAAATCTTGAAGACACAAAGCAAGTGTCTTCCTTTTGTTGCTTCCAGCACAGAGGTTTGAGCTGGTACCTAATTAATTGATAACATCTGGAGGAAGGATAGACATTTGCATAGCTCTGGAATCCCTGTGTTAAAGCAACCCCAGCTGCCTCACCTTCCTCACCTCCCTGGGAGGGTGGGCAGGCCCTGACCCAGGTTGCCCAGAGAAGCTGTGGCTGCCCCTGGATCCCTGGAAGTGTCCAAGGCCAGGTTGGACAGGGCTTGGAGCAACCTGGGCTGGTGGAAGGTGTCCCTGCCCATGGCAGGGGGTGAGATGGAATGAGCTGTAATGTCCCTTTCCACCCAAACCATTTCATGATCCTGTGATTCATTCAACGATTAAACCCCCTGGTATTATTGGGTCCATATCCAAGGCCCTGTGGTGCATTTGGTGGCAGGTTGGTCTCACACATTCCCACGTGGAGTTTTTTCCCTCCCAGAACCAGGCTCCCTGGTGGACAGGAGACCCCATCCATCCTTCTTTTGGCCTTGCCTTTGCCCGTTTCTCCCTCTTGTGGTGCTCAACCCCGTTAGTGTCTGCCCATCTTGGAGCCACAGCCTCTTTTCCAAAGGCTGTGGAGTTATTTTAGCCCTTTCTATCCACCTGTGACCTTAGTCCTGTATCCTGCAGGGATGGGCACTCCATCCCTGCCCAGCTGCTTCCCAACCTCAATCCTTTGGTGTTTTAAAAGTGAAGGGAAAAGCTTCACAACCAGCCTGGAGAAACAGCTTAACTATTGAAGCAGCGAGAAGAGGCAAGTTTGGCTGATGTGTTTGCTGGTCTAAACATGCACCCTGTTACTGCCTCAGTGCTCAAGCTGTTCCTCTCTGTCCAGAGGATAATCCTGGATCCTTCTTAGCCCAGTGCCCCACTGGGTGCCGGGCCAGTGGGATGGGGTTGGAGGTAAAGCTGTTGTAAGCAGACAGGACCCGATTTCGGCCACGTGCAGCCGACTGTTGTCCCTTTGTCACCAGGCACAGGGAGATGTGGAGCTGAGCTGCAAAGCTCATCCTCTGGAACAGGGACACCCAAGGATTTGGCGGTGGAAATCTGGGGCTCGAAGGAGTT